ATAATTATTGTATTATATATGATAAATATTTATTATTTTTATAATTACATAATAAAATAATGTACATATAAAAAATATGTGTAGAATATATTTAAAAGAAACACAAGAGTATATACGAGTATGTATACACATGCTGTGTAATATATTATTGTGTAATAAAGATTCTCTTAATGAATAATTGATAACAAACAAATGGTGACAAAGAAATCACAAAGTAAATATTCTTATTCCCATTTTAATAAATTAATTACGCGAATGTTTCAGTTTTCCTTTCTATCCGTCTAAATATTAAAAGATATATGATTACTCCAGTTTTATAGAAAGACAGGATTCTATCTTTCGCACGCTTCGACGCTTAAACATCTATGATACGATAATCCGCCCCTTCTCTCTCTTCGACTGTACTTTCTACATCTATTTATACCTTTTTCTTTTTCTTTCCTTTTCCGATCTCTAATTGCGAACAGCAGCAACGCTGGTTCGCGCAAAGAGATATAGAGAAATATAATAAACAGCAAAGGAGTAATGTAAAGTAATTTACGTTTACGCGCGTGTAGCGCCAGAATTTCGCGCGATTTCATGGGAGTTAAACGGATAAAAACGCGTCGGTAGAAAGACGATTGCGCATTATTAGGTGTAATAAACGCGCGCAAGACGCACGTTAATCCGAGTTCGTTTCGAGAACGCGCGGCCGCACTTTTATTTGTCAAGCCGACGCGGCGGGACGTTCGTGCCATGAGTTGAACTGTAAAGTGCACGCAGTGTTACGCAGGCAATTTCTTTAAACTGGAGTAATGCATAATCGAGGCGTGCGCGCGTGAACGTGGTTGTCGGTCCATATAAGCCGAAACCACAATTTCATGAATAGCATGAATAATAAATGTAACAAGAGAAATATAATGTACACATCATTTCATACAAGTATATACAAATAATATTTGTCTTTTTCACTCACCAAAAAAGTCCTCCCAGCTAACTGAACCGTCGGAATCCACGGCGTTGTTGGCGCTCGCAGCTTCCGCGTCTGCCTCGCTGCCCATCGCGTTGACGCGCGCACGAGCAATTCCACCGATTCCGCGTCGATTGTCAACGTTATCACGTTGTTACTCGTACAACGCAGCACGATCATCGCTCGTCACATCGCGCGACGTCTCGCGTCTCGTCGGGTCGCCGTGCCGAACGACGCGTTTGCGCCGCGCGTCCACGAACGTGCGCCGATCGCGACTGACATATCTTTCGGCGCCGAAAGAAAGCCGAAAGTCTCGCCACGGAGAAGAAGGATGTGGAAGGATAAACACGATCGCGAGCCAACGAGGAAGAAACGTGTACGTATGACAAACGGAATGCGACTGACGTGACGTGACGGCGGCCGGCGCGGTGGTACGCCAAAAGTGCCAAAACTCACCGAGGGTGAGCGATCGCAGAGGTAAGCCGACGGGGTCCGATTGGGCACCGTGCGCGCCGTAAACATTGCACGCAACGCGGTCGCAAGATGAAACGCGACTGACACCAAGTACCAACGGCGGCAAGTCGCAACGGCCGATCCGCGCGGCGCGGCGCGGCGGCGCGGGCGGGTGGCCAGCGCGGTGTGGCGCGACGCGCGACATGCCGCGCCGAAAATCACCGAGGGTGAACGATCCCGCGGACCAACGGAGGTTCCCTGAGAATTCTGCGAAATGTATAACCCCGATTCGAACAGTTTCTATAGAGAATGCAAATTTATTTCGCTCCGTATATACACATACTGTAAAAATTTAATAATATTTTACATAAATAAAAAAAGAATTGAATGTCGAAGTAATTTTGTTACAAATAATTGCACATCAAAAAATAAACAACTATATCTTTATAAAAGCGCATGAGAATTAATTAGGCACCTTTCCATGCTGACGCTCGACGCTCATTTTTAGCGTAAGAACAGATTACATGATCAAAATTGATGCTTAGTATTCGTCAATTTTGATCTGTTTTGACGCTAAAAATGAGCGTCGAGCGTCAGTATGAAATAGTACCTTTATAAAATAAACACATAATTATAATATGAAATTTTCTTAATGTTAGTATATATGTAATATTAAATATATGTATATATACAGTTACATATATATAGAATATATAATCAGAAAATATATGAGTAATATATGTCGACATTTTTTATATAATTCTTAATCTATATATCTGTTCTATGAATGTCTAAGTTAATTTGAAATGAGATCAAATGGCAACTCCGACAACCAATACAAATTGTTGGGCTCTTTCTCGGAACTATCGAAAAGACGGTATTTCGGAAGATATATCCGAAACATTTCGATGAGAAAGTGGAACCGAGAGATACACGCATTGCGTGGAATATTAACGAGCGGCATAACGTCTCTCTCTCGAAATAAAATAAAAGATCTTCTCCCGAATATATATATTGCTCAACCAAGCGCCGTGAAAGTCGCTGCTACACATTCTTACAACCTTCCCCCCCTTTCCCTTTACCCTCCACACGCCGGATTGCGTTTATTTTTTGGAAGAATACACGCACCTACACGCGCGCATATATTAGGGGTCCGCTACGCGCGCACGATACTTCTACGGAATCGCCGGCGTTCTATTATTAGACGACCGACGTTTGCCGCGCGTTGCATCCCGCGACGACGGTATGAATGGAGAATGCTGCTCTCTCTCTGAACGTTTAGGACGTCGCCCGGCCTTAATCCATCGACAACGAAAATTATTTTACTTTCGAAAAATCAAAACTGAAATGATTTCAGCCTTTCTTATCTAGCGTAATAATTAACACACGTATTTATTTAATGATTTATATATGCATTGTATACATTTGCATGTAACAACAATACGGAGGAAAGAAATTATTCAATCTGTTGATCATATAATATTTTGTATTTCGCATCGTATAATAAACAACGTACATACATATACAAGATCATTATAAGAAAAAATGCCGATGCGAATATATAGACTAATACACAGTTTATTACATACATTCCTTCTTTCTGTTATCTAATAGTTACACTCTCATTTGAACTTAAATTACTCCCGTCTTACGAAACAATTGTTATTTCTCTAACAATACTTAGGAGAGTATGCGCCCTTGTTGCGCGTGTTTGACTTTAATTATTACCACTATAAAGTCCATTTTATTGCCAAATTTTAATTTATACAAAATAATGTAATAATATATTTGGCCATACAAAATATTGGTGGATAATAAATGTTCTTTTCGCAAAGACTTTGCAAAGTCTTATTTAAATCTTTCTCCCCGCGCGGAGTTTAATTAAATAATTTCTTGGATACCTTAAAAGTGAAAAACTTAAAAGTGTTTACCGCATTTAAATAAAATAATAAAAAATTTCGAATAAAAATAGAATATAAACACGAATGATGCGCGTAATCGATGACATTTAGTCCTAGCTTAGAGCAGTAACGATGTTCTCGTGGCACACAGGTACATATATATGTATATATTAACTTAGAATAATACAAATAAATTATCACAAATGCACTGTAAAAAAAATTCTAACATAAACCTATAAATGAATCACGATAATGAAAACGCTAACAATGATTAAACGTTAACTAATAATATTTCCTAAACTTAGATTAGAATACTCTTAAAATTATCAAAGATGAAAAATTGCGGCGTAGTGTGAAAATAAATTTGACTAAATCGCATACTTTCGGTATGTAAGCTCGAAAGTCGTTATGCCATTGAAATGTCCAATCTTTTACTTATACATCATATAAGAGAACGTGATCTTTATATCTTACCATATGCTTTACTAATGTTCCTCCGTAGTAAATTATTTACCTTCCTTCGAACATTATCGATTTTAAGTGTCATGATGTAAATTTAATGTAGGTTACATTACGATTTATATTTGCAGACTGCATGTATAGCAAATACGTTCCATTGAAATTAATGTATCTCTGAATTCATTGTACAAATTAACAGAACAAATCAGTTTGACGAAGAAATGTCTTATTTACAGAGTTGATCTTAACAAAGGAAAGCGTGCGACATGTGTCACGCGGAAAGAATTTGTTCTGTGCTATCGCTACTTTTATATCGTTTAATCTCATAGTATGAAATGTTAATGGAGTCACATATCTACATATAAATGGATAATTCTTTAATATTTTACAATGATTTTTGAGCTAAATATGGAAAGACACAATAGTTATGGAAAACGAGATTTTACAAAAAATGACAAATCCACGTTACCTCTTTCCTTTGATATCTCTTTATCATCTATATTGCACAAGAACATTCTTAAGGGGAGATATACACCTAGGAGCCGGAAAGAAAAGATCATTTTTGTGAATTTTTTTAAGGAAAACTACTTGAAATTTCGGATTGGGAGTTTTTCTATCTAAAAGTATACACATTCAGGAATATGTTCAATTTTTTTATTTAAAAAAATCAAAAATTGACGAGGTTGTTGTATAATCTTCGGAGCGCCGTAAAAAAATCCGGTACCCACTGGCGTTTCTTCAAAAATCATCTCAAACAAAAAAACCAAAAAGATTATTAAATTAGATACTATAATCTTGTACTTGTCATAGGATTTTTTTTTTTCGTTGCTTAGTTTTTGTTTTATAGG